TGACTGGGTCATTTGCCTTCTGGAATGCTTCGTGCATGGCTTTAAACCTTTTGCCTGCCATTCTGCACAGGTACACAGATAATTCTAGGCTGTAATTTCTGCTAAAGGCATATGGTAGATAGCTAGGGATGGAGTTCACACCTTTCTGTACTTCATTGAGTATTTCATGAAAAAAATCTTGACTGTAATCCATTTTCTCCTGTTCCTTCTGATCAATGTTTGTCCTCACACACTTTATGATGTTGTCTGTGATACCCTGAAACTTTTTCCTAGAAGAAAAGATAATGATATCCACATCCTCGTCAAGATAATATTTCCTTGTGATATGTTTGATCAAGTCCAAAGAAAATTCTCCGTCTTTGGGAAATGACCTGATCCGTGCACGAAAACCAGGCCCCTTAAAGTGATCCAGAAGGACCTCTTCTATATCTGCATCAATATCCACCCTTTTTGGAGGGGGAGTAGCACAGGAGACTTCATCAATCCACTTGTCCCAGACAGCAGTAAAGTTGTCTCTCAGTTCTCTCTCACTGAGGCTCTTGCCTTTCAGAGTCAGAGCCAACGCCCTGCTCCTTCTCAGGAGCTCATCTTCATATTCTGACTTCCTTGCATCCAGTTTCCTCTGCGTCTTCTGCAGTTCAATGAGACTCTCACATTTCTTTGCAGTTTCAAGAAGAAGACTCTCTTTTAGGTTTTTCAGATTCAGCTCTGTACTGCTTTTCCACTGGACCAGTATCTCACAGTCTTTGTCTTCCCTGAAATACTTTTCCATGTCTGTCACAATGGCATCACTTGTCTCTTGCACGAGCCCTTCAAGGTGTTTTCTGGTGACTACCTGCAAGTCCCCATTCCGAATTTTATTGTCGAGTCTCATTTGTACCTCTAAGATGTGGCTCCTCAGCCTCCAGGTCCACTGACTAAAGGCACTTTCCAGTCTCCTGTACGCAGCAATCTCCAGTGAATTCTTGAAGCTGAAAACAAAGTTCTCATTCAGCAAAGCATTCCAGAGGTCACCAATACGAACCTTCAGGCTTGAGAGCCTCAAAATGCTGCCTTGTGGCTCCTCTTTGGCAGCCTGGAGAATTTTCCTCTTTAATTGCTGGACATTGTGGCTGTAGGTGGGGTTGGGTGGTGCCATGGGGGGGTTTCCTTCCCACAGCTGAGCAAAGTAGTGAACGTGGGTGTTCACATCAAAGGGGCTGATGTCGCTGAAGGAGGAGATGTCACAGTATTCCTGATGGGCAGCTACCACAGTCATTTCATCCAGCTTCTCCTGAAAATATCTTTGTCTCTCCAGGTTCTGCTCCTTGGCAGTAACTTCTCCGACATTTTGATGGACAAAAAGGCAGCTTGGGGAAAGATTTACCTCCTTCATCCTCAGAAAAGCCTGCACAGTGATCTGAAGAACATCCTGCATTTCTGAGGGATTTTCCCCAAAGATGTTGATCAGGGTCATGTTGCTGATGCCAATGACAAAGGTGGCCAGCTCGTTGTCATGATTCAGGGACTGTTTTCTGGCCATCTCTTGGGCAAA